GACCCCAGGTCCGAACCGGGGATCAAACCCAGGACCTTCTTGCTGTGAGGCGTCGCTGCTAACCACTGAGCCGTCGTGCCGCGACAATTTGTTCACAAATAAGTCAGCCATGACTCGTATGATGAAGATGAATGAGTTTTCGACAGAACTTAAAGATTTACTGAGGCTGTCGGTACCACACACGTCTTACATCACCAAGTGCCAAATAACCAGCAAAAGTTTAACATTAATAATTCCACACGATTCTGCCCAACCTTATGACAACATATGATAACACTGATTATCATACACAAAGATGAAAAATGTAGAAAGCTCACAGAACGACAATGTAAAAAGTGGATTTTAAACCGTCTGCAGTCAGGAGGAGCAGAATGCGGTCGGTGTCTGCAGGCAGCGATCACTACATCAGTTGCTGCTAACTTGTTTTAGAGGTTATCTTTATAATGATCATTTATTTAGTAGTGAGTATTAAGTTACTGGTAGTTTAATGTGGACCTCATCTGGACTTTAGGCTGCCCTAGTTCTGTATCGTTAGCTGCTGGATGTGTGTTGACATTAGCGCTCGCGTTAGCATGATCGTAACAAATAAAACTATATCAGAAAAAAACACTCACCCTGGAAAAAAAAAAAAAACAAACGATAATCATCGTGGAGCTGTTTGGTACCAAGTTTGTGGATCCACCCGCTGAATAAAAAGTTCGACACCTCCCGTTGTTTACGTGCTTCCATCAGCTGTTCGGTGTAGTTAGCATCCAGTTAGCGCCGCACCGTTTGCCCCGGTAGACTGGTAAACGGGACCGTAGAGTCCGCTCGGTTCTCGATGTTCTTCTCTTGCCTCTTATAATCAAAATAGTGAATCACCTACTTCCTCATCAAAGTMCTCACTCTGTCTCCGACTGTTTTTCCTCCATCTCTGCCTTTGAGCTCCTCTCTCAAACTGCGGCTCGGTCCAACTCGGTCCACCTCTGCAGCTGGACTGGAGCTCCACATTCATTGCCTTTTTTTCTTTGCATCAAAGACACTAAAATAACTTACTAAACTTCACCCTAAMTATGGAATATAGTTATACAAATATAATAAATGTAATGAATTTCGGATATCTCATTGCTGACTTCCGATCGCGCTGTCTCTCCATCGCAGCCAAACTTTATTCAACTTCAGCCTCTTTTTATTTTTATCTTCCTGTAGATTTTTTGCTGCTTGTCTAATATTTTCAGGCTTCAGTCAGAAATGAGATTGGGGGGGTTAGGTTAGTTCGGTGGGGTGGGGGTGACACCAGAGGGTGGAATGAGGAGTTTTCCCCCCATGAATCAGCCCTATTTTACATCCTCTTGCTGCAACGTGCATAAAATATGACAAACATTAATAAAAAGAGCCATAATTTTATATATAATTTAATCAGTGTAAAATTATTTACTATTAATTCAATTAGAATGAGTGGAGCACTCGTAAACTACACAAGATATGGGCATTTTTTCAGATAGCGGATCCTCCACTTTTTCACTTCCGACCTCCATCCTAACTTCGCGCTCTAGTGGCACTGCATCGTGACGTCACGTAAAACCCTCCTATTACTATGTTGCTTGTCTAGCAAATGGCTATGTACCAGTTGGGTGGAGGACAGCAAAGGTTTTTCATCCCAAACCTGGCAAGCCAACATATACAGAAGCAAGATCTTTCAGACCCATCAGCTTAACATCTTTCTTGCTGAAGGGAATGAAGAGGTTAATGGATTGACATGTAAGGAATGGTATTTTAATGCTATCACCTTTAATTCCGAAACAACATGCGTATCAGTCAGGAATTCTTGGGGACCCCTTTATGGATCCCGAGAGGCTCAGAAAACTGTGTTTCTAATCTTGTGTCCTTCATCCGAGGGACAAGAAGGTTCAAATAAAGACCAGTGTCTTTTTGGGGAGAGCAATGGGCCCACTTAGGAGGTCCCCCGTTCATATGGATTTTATTTCCATTCCTACCAACCATAAATGATATATCCAAACACAGTTACAACTGCATTTTTTTGTAGTCATGTTTAGCTTTGGGTTCTGTACCTTCCATGACTTCCCCAGTCAGTCTACCTCTGGTTGTACCATGAACGACTGTGTAACAACTCACTACACTGTTTACGAAGGGAGGGGGGAAAAGTTACAGATGGTCTGACACTGGAGACTGTGAAGAAAACACAACAGCTACTAAAGCTGTAATTTCCCTACCCACCTCCCTCTGGCCTCATAAAATAATTGCGGTCACACCTCTGCTGCTTACGTGGTTTGTGGAAGTTTACAAAATTCATATAGTGGAACAAAAAAACTCGGCGGACCAAAGATTGTCAGATTTTCCTCTGGCGTCACCAGCTGAAAGAGGGCATCGCAAAACAGAACAGGGTGTCATTAAGACACCACAATGCCCCTCTAGCTAAATGCCTGTTTTAAGTGCTTCTGGTCAACTCAGACTACGTTCACACTGCAGGCAAATCCGAGCCAAGTCCCATTTTTTTTGCCCCATCTGACCCATATCTGATTTTTTTATGACAGTCTGAACACGACAAATCCGATTTTTTTTTCAAATCCGACCCAGGCTGTTTTAGTATATGGTTTTAATTTGGATACATATCTGGGGTCTCATTTATAAAGGATTGCATGGAAACCATACTAAAAGTGAGCGTACGGCCAAAAGGCGGAAATGGCGTATGCCAAAAAAAATCAGATTTATATAAAACCGTACATACGCACGTTTCTGCGCATCTTTCCTTTATAAATCACAGCCGCACGTCAGAGTTTGCGCACGAGGTCCCGCCTCAGGTTCTACCCTCTACACGCCCACACAACCATAAACAGTCAATGCAAAGTACCTCATGAATGTTAAGATGTATTTAAATCAGTCAGCTGATCAATGCCAACAAAAGTGATTGGTTCAGACACGCTCTGTCGTGTGTCTGGAGGATGACAGGTGCTGACAGCTGCTCACGTGAACAGATTGTCTGTAATTGACACAGATTTTCCCTCATTTTGCTTTAGAGTAATCTAACAATTTTTATATAAAAAACTCAGCTTCAAATTAATTTTCCATCAGTGCCTGCAGGACAATAAAAACAATAAAAATAAAAGTGAATAAGTCAGATAAAATTAGAAATAAGTCCACCGCTCTTCTCCTCGTCTTCTCCCCCTCCTGCCTGCTCTGTTATCCGCGACAGATACCCCCACCCCGTGCACACACACACACACACACACGCACACATCCCCGCGCTTGCGCGTGACAAAAACGGACTTTAAACGTGAAGTTTTATAACATCCACACTGGCGAGGTGGATGCGCCCTGCGTGTGTATCCAAAGCGAGACTTTTGCTGTCCTGCTGTTCTTGTCAGGGAGGGGTCTGTGGGTCAGGGAGAGGTCTGTGGGTCAGGGAGAGGTCTGTGGGTCAGGGAGGGGTCTGTGGGTCAGGGAGAGGTCTGTGGGTCAGGGAGAGGTCTGTGGGTCAGGGAGGGGTGTGTGGGTCAGGGAGAGGTCTGTGGGTCAGGGAGAGGTCTGTGGGTCAGGGAGGGGTCTGTGGGTCAAGGAGGGGTCTGTGGGTCAGGGTCGTCTGAGGAGGAAGCAGATGAAGGGAGCTGCGCACGGGAACTTTTTATTTAAGATTTAAGTTTCTTTTTATTTCAAAGGTCCTCATGGCTCAGCAGCAGAAGCATAAAGATTACTGTTAAGAAAGCTGATGATAAAGTTGAATAAAAATCTAAGTCTGATTCTGAAGGTAAATTAAATATCTGACAGTGATCATGAAGCAGTGTGGCTCTAATTCTTCACTTCACCATCTGTCGCAGTTTCACGTCTCTAAAATGAGCATACGCATGGGTCAGAGCTGGCGTGAGGCACCGCACATTTTCACGTCAAGTTTGGATTTTATAAATCACAACCTTGGCGTGAAAAAGTGGCGTACTCAAGTTTCTGGGCTCATATCGTGCATACGCCAGTTTTATAAATCTGACCCCAGATGTTTTCAAAGTGACTGCAGTGTGAACGCTCATGTCACATTCCATCCGAYGTTTTCATCAGGAGGAGGGGGTGAAGGATCGATTTTGCTCCTATTAACTGTTTTTCTGAAAAGTTAAGCTCTTTTTTTCTTCTTTCAGCTTTTCAAATTGAACTCTAACACTTGCTATGAAATATTTTCAGCTKAATTTTTCAGCAAGAAGCATGAATTCACACTAGCATTTTCACAGGAAATGCAATTTGTCCAGTTGAACTTTGCTGTCTGGCAGAAACAGAAATGTAAATATGATACAACATTCAGGGTCAGAATGGTTTCTCCTTTCAGTCATCAGTCTGTCCACGTGTATGAGTGAGTTACTGAATGTCCTCCTGTGTACCGTAGGGAGGTCATGATCACTAAATCTGCAGCTATAAATAGACACAAGAGGTGGCAGCTATTTTCTCTCAGCTGGAGATGAACACGGTTTTCAGCTGACCCTCATTCAGAACATCCTGCCACGTATTTGTATACCTATTGCCCTTTGATCATTTTGTGTCCTTGATCTTCTCGGACGTCATTCAGATTTTTCTGAGTCACGAGCCCTGTGCTGTGTCCTTAATGTTTATCGTTGTGTCATGTGTCTCCCGGTCACTGACCTTCACTACCGCCTCCTCCTGTTCTGCAGGTATTCCATGCAGGAGATCTATGACGTAGTAGCTGGTGTGGAAGACTACCGTCACTTTGTTCCCTGGTGCAAAAAGTCTGACTTGGTGTTCAAACGTTCTGGTTTCTGTAAGGCCAAACTGACTGTGGGCTTTCCCCCTGTGGTGGAGAACTACACATCCCTCATCACAACAGTACGACCTCACCTGGTCAAGGTAACAAATTACTTCCAACTCATTGAGATATTCTTAGGTTCTTTTCTGAGATCATGTAGTGTTCAAATGGGCATCTCTTAGTATGAATTTATCCAGGACTACTTGTGACAAATTAAGAGCCAGGTGGATATGAGACAGTGGCATTAGGTTCAATGCTACTAAATTTAATTAGTAATTGTAGAACTTCGCCCATTTTTTTTACAAATACAATTTTTTAAAGAGTTGAACCTATGCCAGATATACAACCTCAATTTCAGAAAAGTTGATGTGTAAAATGTAAATTAAAAACAAAATSCAATGATTTTCAGATCTCATTAACCCATATGTTTTTTTTCACAATGGCAGATAGGAAACATCAGAAAAAGTAATTTGAACATTTTTGGGGAAATAAACTAAATGGTATTTGGAATTCGTTGGCAGCAACACATCTAAAAATATTCCAGGTCCATGTTTCCCTCYGTGAAGCATCCCCTCTTCTTCTAACAGTCTGTAAACATCTAGTAACTGAGGAGACAAGCTGCTGGAGGTCTTGGAGAGGAATGTTGTCCCATTCATATCAAATATAGGATTCTAGTTCATCATCTGTTGGGTTTTCTTTCTGAAGTTTTTTATTTTATGATGCATCAGGTGTTTTCAGGTTCTTCATTGAGGAACATAAACTTGTTGCATTACTTTCAGATGCAGTTTTTCCTCACACTGGTGAACCTCTGCCCATCTTTACATATAAGACAAAAATCCTCTCCAAGGCCCTGTTTACACCTGAACAATATCTGGAAACATTGGCTTTGGCATTGGTTTTTCCGGTTTTGGTTGTGGAAAAGTTCGTTGTAGTTGCTGTTGTTTTCATGCCGGCTGGCACTGGGAATTTTKTATTTCATAATCAGACTTGAGCATGAAAACAGTTGCATCTAAAATGGTGACTACTTGAATGTTTGTTTGGAGTGGACCGAGGAGAAGGTTGGGTTGCTCCTACAAGTTGAAAATGGTGATCAKCACAAACAGCACTCTATCTGCCATCATTATTGTTCATCTGCTCACACAGAAAAACTACTGAGGTGCATAAAGCAGTTTTACACCAGTGCCAGGCATTTCTAAAAGACCCCCACTCTAAGACATGGATTCAGAAAGCTTTGGTGTCTGATAAAACGAATGCTGTTGTTGTGTACACATGAACGTCTAAAATGCAACAGACATGCTATGGTTTGAAAAAGCAATCATGCTGTGCAGACAGGGCCTAGTCAAGCTCTTCATACACAGTCCTCTTATTAACCTGTTGCCAATTAACCTCATTAGTTGGAAAATCTTCTTGCAGTTCTTTTTTGTACTACTCACTTTTACAGCCTTTGTTGAAGCTGTCCAAACAATTTTTTTAGATGATTTGCTGTCATTAAATTCAATCAATCAATCAATCAATAAACTTTATTTCCATAGCACATTTTAAAAAAACCACAGGGGTAACCAAAGTGCTATTAGTGTTGTATAAAGTACCACAAAGTGATACTTGAGTAAAAGTACTAGTATCTTACCAAAAAATTACTTTAGTAAAAGTTAGTCTTCTTTAGGAATATTACTTGAGTAAAAGTCTTAAAGTATCAGATATTTTTTATACTTAAGTATTAAAAGTAAAAGTATTGATTTAAAATGAGCAGTTAGATTATCCGTTATGACATTTATTAGGAGGTGACCTCCTCAAAAGCTGCAGAAATGACTATATCATATTAAAATAATTAATTTATGTTAAATTCAGGATGCTCTAGTCCAGCTGTTTCAGTTTATATACATATATCAAGGGTGACCAAACCTTTTCCCCAAAATGAAAATCCATCTGAGGGCTGCGGCCAAATGCAATAATATAATTATTATTTTTAATATTAAAATACAAATACTTCTTAAGTACAGTCCTTTTATTTTAATGATTATGTCCTGCTGGAGTGAGACATGATTTGTTTGTGAACAAACGAATACAATATCAGAATTTTATATATTTATACTTCTCATTCAACCACAATTAAATTCACTCTATGTAGGAGGCACAGTTTATATGGATAGTATTTATTTTTTACAATAAAAAGCTGGAATGAAAACAAGCAAAAATGAAATAAAAGTAACAACTTTCTAGCAGAGTTCTGCACAAGACGGGCAAGTGAGGTCTGACTAATGCCTACATACAGTGAATTACAGCAGTCAAGATTAACTGTGGTAAAGTCATGGATTAATTTCTCCATGTCAGATATTATTGGCTTCACCTTTGCTGTTTGGCGAAGTTGATAAATACTTTTCTACACAACACTGCCGATGTGTTTCTCAAATTTAAAATCCGATTCAAACTGCACCCCCAAATTAGTGACACAGTCCCTGCGATAGAAAGAAAGTTAAGAGAAAACCCTGCTTTAATGTCATTAARGCAGTGTGTGAGTTGGACTGTGTTGTTTTGTGCCAAGGGAAAATAGATCTGACAATCATCAGCATAAGAGTGAAATGACATAAAAACAGAGCCGAGGTGGAGCAGGTAAAGGATAAATAAGAGGGCTGAGGATTGACCTCTGGGGCACCCCATATGGAAGCAGAGCAGTGGAAAACATAAAGTTGTCAGTTTTTTTACACAAGTTTTGTTTTCCGTGACATCCCAACAATTTTTTAGAACTCTGTTTTATATCAGAGGATGACAGCTTGATTTTAACTGCAGTATTTTTTGCAAATAAATATTACTGACTTTGATGCCAGTTAAAGATTTGTCAGAACTAGTTTCTGTCAGAAAGTCTGCCACAGTGAAATGGTAAACAAAAGACTTGCTGGAGACGGAGTGAGGAGCTTCATTATCATTTAAAAATGAAGCCCATTTTCCAACTGGCTCAACAAAAAGACTGAGTCACAAATGTTTGCGCAACACAGAAAGAGGGGGGAAAAAGGCACTGCAAATGAAACAACAAGGTTCTGATTTGTCATCATGAATCAGCAAGAACCATATAGCCCAAACTGCCTGTGTGACAATCAAGGTTATAATAGTTTTGGATTTTTCATTATAGTTTAGTTTTATTTAGTGCTAGGCGGTATACCGTTTTGTACCGAAAATCGTTTTTTATTTTTGTTATGACTTTTCTGAATACCGGTATAGCCTGAACAYGTGCAGAACCTTTAGTCGCGGCTGCCAGGGAACTGTTTCCCTGGGGACACATTTCGTTACAGCACAGCTAAGTGCATTAGCATGCTAACATTATTGTTGGAACAACTGGCGGCGGGTGGTGTGTTTCAGCCGCTTATATGGTCTGACCTAAAAAAACATCCCATTTTCACCATCGCTGAATGTAGTAAACAACTCTTCAGTGACGTGCACAGTTAGATTTAACACGTTACTTTATAATGGAGACGTTATTGCATGGAGACTCTAGCGTGCTTCTATTGTGAAAAGCCAGGGGGGAAGTAGTTTTGTAGTGTAGCAGAGTTGACTGGTGTGCAAGGTGAGTCGTCCTTTTAAGTTTTATTAACACCTAACGATAGACCAGATGATTTTTTTCTCAACCCTTCACGATCGGACCTAAATGCATGATTACTGTCTGCAACCAGTCAAAGATGAAAAGACACACAAGAGGAGGGAAACAGTGATACAGAGGAACAGTAAAAGAAAAAAGTCAATAAGCAAAGTTTGTACATTTTATTATCAGCTGAGCTGTGAGGAAAAAAAATAGAGTGAAACTGGTGTAATTGTTGAAAATACCGTGATATAAAATTTGGGTCATATCGCCCAGCTCTAGTTTTATTTCGTTTTGACTTTTTTTCTTTTATTTCAGTTAGTTTTAATTAGTTTTTACAGTGGATTTGTTAGTTTTTATTAGTTATTATTGCTTTTTTAATTCTTAGTTTTAGTTTAGTTTAGTTTTTATTAGTTCTAGTANTGCATCAAGTTTGTGATGTTCCTGTGAGTTAACTAACCAACAAATATTTGGTCGCTAGTTAAAGCAGTTCATTTTAGCAACACCTTCCTAAAATATTTGTTAGTTTTTATTAGTTATTATTGCTTTTTTAATTCTTAGTTTTAGTTTAGTTTAGTTTTTATTAGTTCTAGTATTAGTTTTTTTTAATAGATTGAATAAACATATTTGTCAATGCATCAAGTTTGTGATGTTCCTGTGAGTTAACTAACCAACAAATATTTGGTCGCTAGTTAAAGCAGTTCATTTTAGCAACACCTTCCTAAAATAATTGCGTAACTCAATTTTGCCAACTAAGGACTTAGGATATTATTTTAGGACGATGATAATAATCGTTTCCAGCCTGGTGCTACCTGTTGCTTGTTTTTTTCACAGGACCTACTGAGAGAAGCTAGCGTGTCAAGATAGTCATAGTTAGCATCTTGTGTAAGCTTGATTCATGCAGTTTTTTCCTTGAAACTTTCCACCTGTTTTATCACCTGTTTCCACTACAAGACACTTCTATTTTTCTCGCAGTCATTTTCAAAGAAAACCCAAAGTAGACGTTGCCGTTTTCTCCCAACTTTTGTTGTCGTCATTTGGCAGATGATGCTGAGGAGCAGACTGTAAACAAGTGTTGTTACAGACCATAAGGTGCTGTAAGCTGCCCACAGCTAATGTGAAACTATTCAATAAAAAATAAATAAATAAATTGACAAATACTAAAACTAAGGATATCTATCTATAATTTGAGTTAGTTTTAGTTAGTTTTGTAAAAAGATTAAACAGTTTTAGTTAGTTATCATTTTTTTCAATTTATTTTTCATTATTTAGTTAGTTTTAGTTAACTATAATAACCCTGGTAGAGATGGGAAATCGTCCCTATTTTCAGATCATAAGATCATGGTCACTGGCTATCGCAGATAGACGATCCAGTCGGCTGMTAAGGCATGCGTATTTACGTTGTTAAAAAAAAAAAAGCAAGCAGCCAGGTCCGCTTATTACTGAAGCGACTTTGGGCTTCTTTTTTTCTAAAGTTGCTTGTAAATTCCATGAGTCGCAGTTGAAGCAGAACACAAGGAGTAGTGGTTTTGTCCCTCCCAGTCCCTCGTTTCCTGGTTGTCGCTCCCGCCCGGCACRCTTCAAACACCCACAGCCCAGAGTGAYGGGGWAATAAGCARGGGTGAGGGAGTGCGGTCCGGTCCAGTTCAGAACTAGTTAAAGTTATTTGTTCAAATGTATGATTGTCATGGATTATTCGTTTTSTAACTAAACGTAATAATATAACAGTATTTGGGTCAGTTGTGGCGCACCAAAGCAAGAAGATGACAAGAAGAGGAGCTGCGCATGTTGACGCTGACTCCGAGAAAAAAAAATGGAGACGCAGCACTGTATATTAATTATTTTATTCCCTCATTTGCACAGATCGTAATGATGATGATTAAAACATTTTAATTTACAGAGAAGGGCACATATAAAATTTATTTTACATCCCTGGCACGGCATTTAATTAATTAATAAAAATCGCCCATTAAAAAAACTCACATTCCCACCACCATCCCTAAACCCTGGTGGCAATAAGATGTACAGAAGGTTACAGAACTACAAGCAGTACAAAGTAGTAGTCTGTTTTATTCTTGCAAAGTGTAGTTTATCTTTTATTTCTCTTTAGTTTGTCAAAGCATAGTTGAAGAGAGCAGCAGGAGGAGAACTTGATGAATGAACTGTGACCTTGCCGTGTATCTGCTGCTTGTCAGGCGTCCTGTTCCGATGGGAAGCTCTTCAACCACTTGGAGACGGTTTGGCGTTTCAGCCCGGGCCTCCCTGGCTACCCTCGAACCTGCACTGTGGACTTTGCTGTGAGTACAAGCAGTTTGCTGTGCTGACAGCAGCATGACAGTGCAGTGTGTGTCCTCGCCTGAGACCACGTGTTGGTCCTGGACGTGTCTCGGCTTGGCCTCCCTGCGGTGTTGTGTTAGCTGTCACACATAAATCACTCTACCTGCGCAGTCTGAAGCTCAGCTGCTAATGTTGACCTTGTTCCCGTCCTCAGATCTCCTTCGAGTTTCGCTCTCTTATTCACTCTCAACTTGCTCACATCTTCTTTGACGAGGTGGTGAAGCAGATGGTTTCTGCGTTTGAACGCCGCGCCTCCAAGGTCCACGGAGCAGAGACGCCCATCCCCCGCGAGCTCATGTTCCACGAGGTCCACCACACGTAGCAGCAGCCGGCCCGGCACCACAAACAAGTAAACACAACACCAAAGAGACAGAGCACCCTACCTGTGCTCCAGGTGAAAACTGCAGTGCCTTCCCTACAACAATGAAAGTTTTTCCAGCTGATCCGGCAGCTGATTGTCACTTTGGTGCTGAACACCCCAGGGTCAGACCCTCCATCTGCACCTGGTTTTGAACTCACATCTGTAAAAAGCAGCTGCTGTGACGTCCCCACGCCACGTCGGCCCGTTACTCTCCTGAACACCAAGACAAAGCAGACCATCAACGTGCAGAGTAGATCGTTACATTATTTGCACAAAAGTTCAGACATTTAACGTCGACGATTCCAAACATGCTGTCACACAAAGGGCATCGAAAAATCCAGCTGAAACCAGAAAATGTAGAGCAGTTACTCATTTACTTATTCTTTCCTTGCTAAATAATTATCTACATTTATTAATACAATTTTAAGGGTTTAAACAAACAGGGAAACATTTTCTGATTTCAGCTTTGAAATAAAAGGATTTGATGCTTGTTGAATCTTGATTATGTTGCCCAATTTGTTAAAAGAAGCTGAGGGAAATTTTATTGGGCATTTGTGTTTATTTTAAGAAAGAAGGAGCTGGTTTTATTTTGTTCACTAAAAACATGTCCTAATCTCTGGCTCAATTTATATGTGAAGCATATGAGTTTAGAAATTTGTTTTGTTAAAGTTCAAATACAGAAAGTGGAAATAAATGGTAAAAATGACACCCATTATGATAAGTTAACATAATTAGCATGGAGCCCTATGATATGACTAATATAATCTTAGGAGGTAAGATGGTTTTTACAATAGCTGATACTGCTAATAATGAATGATTATTAACATTCAAATCAATCCAAATGAAACTATCAAAACAAACTGGTCCATAACAGCACATAATCAGTCCTAGAGTCCAGGTCCTGCTCAGGGCCAGCTGAAACCTGCATTTTTGGCGCAAAAACAAACTTTAAAGTCATTGTCCCACTCTGAGCTCTCATCGGGCTTTGTCAAGTTATTGACCCTTTGCACCCACGTGACAAAGTCACATGACACCGGCATGTTGGACGGCAGAAGGCACAGAGCGGTGTATTGAATTGAATGGCAGTGATTATTTTTTGAAGTTTTTTTTGTTTTGTTTTTGTTTTTGCCATGGTTTCTACTTGTTCCAAGTTTAGATCATTTATCCATGGAAGTCGCACACCTAGTTGGGGCTCACAGACAGCGTTATTTACAGAAGTTGGACATAGCTAGCTTAGAAATCGACCCATTTCTTCTCCCTCCGGATGTGTTTGTTAGGTTCTCATAATGGCCAAGGTAAGACTTGCTTGTTAATGCTAATRTATTTTAATTTGCCGATTCCATACGTGATTCTACATGTTTTTCAAAGCGACCTCTGTCTGACGCTCGTGTTACATTAGCGTCTGCTTCCTGAGATCCCACTTAGCAGATATACTAACGTTAGTGTGAGATCTTATGAATCCAGTCAGAGATGCTTTCTTACTAATTTTCTTCATCAGATCTTCTTTCTGAGCAGTGCTTTCTCCACTGTGTGACTGGTTCATCGCCGTACGGCTGGATGGCTTTAGAGCCGACGACAGCTAGCAGGCTAGCAAGCTAGTAGCTTCTCTTCATGTTAAACAGCTCCGGGTTACAACAGCGCTCTGAGCTGCGCTTCTTTCTGTTCGATATTTAGCTGAAATGATCCATTCCCAGTTAAATTAAAAAGGTGAACAGTGATGATCAGCTGGTCTGATTTTATGACCTGAATACTCAACTTGTGTTTACTCCTTCAACGTGGGGAAAAAAAATGATAAAAGTTTCTCCGACGACCTTTCACTACTACACTGATTCAACATTGAGTAAAAACAACTGTTTTTCCAGCTATCACTGTTGTTTATATCTTCATTATGACCCGGAGTGCTGCGGGTGGGCAGACGGAGAGATTTTAATATTTTAGAACCCGCAGTGCAGCAGTCCGAAACCAGAGAGACACTCCGGTCCACCGGCGGACTGCGCAGCATCTTAAGGCTACGATAAAAGGACAAGTTTGACTTGTTTACTTGTCTGTTTGTGCAGCCGACTGCGCAGCAGCTGAAGACCATTTTTACAGCTAAATCAACAGGGGGGAAAGAACGATATTAGGCTACCAACTGCCTGATTCTCCTCTAGCTCAATAGTAGCTTATGGACGCGTGATTGCTTCTGCCATCCAACATGGAAAAAAGGAGCGGTCTTCTGAGGCGCGTGACGTCACGTGCAAAGGGTCAATATGAAGAGAAAGTGGAGCACACAGAGCCCCCTGGGGCTCACAGAGAAAATCAAATTTCAGGTCATAAGAATTCAGTTTATTAAACTGAGCACCGATTCAAAGTGAGTTTCCTGAGTTGTTATTCTGGACACAGTTTTAATAACAAACTTTATTTTCTCTTACAGCATTAGATCAATGTTTGGATTAATTAACATTTAAATGTTGGACAAATCCTTATTTCCAGGTTCACTAACTTGTAAACAAGCCATCAATCCTTCAAACAAGCAGACAGGGCTGTACRGTCCAGTTTGAATCAAAACAAGACAAACTCTGAACTGAACATGTTTTAAGGGCAATCAAGACAATAATGTGTGTATAATTTAAAATATATATATAAATGTGCATTTCTAGTTTAACTGTTGGCTTGACATTAAAACGAGATAAAAATGTCGATTTATTCATTCATTCATATGACATCACATTTTATTTTGGGGTGGTCTGTAAACATGACAGCAGACTGTACTGTCAGAAACACACCATGTAAGCGGTGCTGAACAGTTCATTTACTTCATGTCTCTGGATTAAGTCCACTTCTTCTCCTGATTCTCTTTTGTATTGAGGAGAACTTGGATCATGTGACATGGGGTGTTTTTTTGTTTGTTTGTTTGTTTGTTTTAAATATCAGTATGTAAAAATGGAGCAAGGCCAGCAGGTTAACTCCCCCACCCCTCCACTGCCCACACCATGTGCTGATGTCAGGGTCCAAACTGGCTGCTGGTGGGACTCTAAGGGTCCATGTTTATCAAACTTCCAAGTATTAACCTTTAAATAGAAAACAGTACTATTTGTGCTGCATCACTTCTGGTGGATTTGAAACTAATTTAGTCACAAAGGGTCACGACAAACATGTCGAGGGTTCATACTTATCTAGAACCTGCTGCTCCGGTCAAACTGGACAGAACCTGATTCTGGACTATTTCCTGCAAATAGTTTGACTGCAAGCTCGTGATATTTTTGTTGGTGTATTTGAGTTAATCCATACCTCAACAGCACACAGAGCTTAGCCTCAGGACTGCAGTGATGTCATGGTGTTGTGTAGCTGGTGGAAATGAATTGTTCTGTAACAGTGATTGTTGTCATGTGTCTAGTCTGAATGTTCCCAGGAATACAGAAGGCCTKTTGTGGAGGTTGACTGAGTGATAGCTGAGATCAAGGTTTTAAAGCTTAACTCTAAATAAATCTGCAGTTGTTCCATCATTACAGCCCTTAGCAAAAAGTAGTATATGCAAGTATCCTGTAAGTATACTAATTTTAAACAATTAGTAAATAAGAGTATACTTACAGTTTACTTGAATAGAATAGAATAGAATAGAATAGAATAGAATAGAATAGAATAGTCTNAACCACTGGGCTAAATGATAGTGCAGTTACTCATAACTAAAGCCACATAATTATGGGATATTATCTCTTTTTTTTTTTCGAGTGCCATAAATGGACTTCCGTAAAATCTGGACTTCTACAAGAATAATAAACACCCATAATACTATTTATAACATAAATTATTGAATAAATGTGTTACACTAGACTGTGGCAGGTGAGCCTACCTGCTTTTGAAAGTAGCCTACATCATTTTATATTTTAGCTAAATTCTGGGAGGAAAATAAAAAGAATTGGACTGGTTGTTCCCATTTTAGAAAAAAATAAAAATAAACATATTTTCCAAACAGGCCGCAGCTGATGAATCACATCAGTGACGTGTTCTGACATCGTTTGGGAGATTGTTACGACACTCCCAGGTCTTCGGTGGGTCCATGAAACCCGGACGGTTCCGCTGGGTTTACCTGCGTTGGTGGCACCGGGCAGATGGGACACCGTGATGAGCGGGAGGAAGATGATGTTGCTGGGCGGCTCGTCCACATCTGCGTCCGGACCGTCCGCCATGATGGTCCCCAAGAATCTCCCACACCAGTCTGCTCTGTGAGCCCAACGAACCAGAGGAGGCCCGAACCGGATCAGAGGTGCAGCACGTAAACAAACGTGGCTGTTGTTGATGTTGTTCAGGACGCTGCGCTACTTCCGGGCTGAGGTCAGCTGACATTTAAAGGGCCAGCGTCTATTTTTATTTTTAAAAACAGAAAACMCTTTTTTAATTAAACTAGCTGACAGAAGGTAGTGTCATTACAGGTGCATGCTCAAAGTCGGTATTTTGTGATGCATTGTGGTCTAGATAGGGTTTTGTCTACTTCCGGTTTGTTAAAATACATTTAATAGACGTAAGAACAAATGATTACAGGGGGTGTCCAATCCTGGAGGGTCCCTATGATTACCCTTAGCAAAAAGTAGTATATGCAAGTATCCTGTAAGTATACTAATTTTAAACAATTAATAAATAAGAGTATACTTCCAGTTTACTTTAATAGAATAGAATAGAATAGAATAGAATAGAATAGAATAGAATAGAATAGAATAGAATAGAATAGAATAGTCTATTGTCATTGTAACAAGTACAACAAAATTATTTGTTCCCTTATGTTTGAATAAAAAATATAGAGAAGAGTAAAAAAACAGTATTTGCAATATCAAGATGTAAAATAGAAACATAAATGTACGTATCAACACTATGCTTGTACTAAAAATATACTAAGTTTAAGTGTACTTAGTCTATACTAATGTTTAAACTTTTGGCCAAGATAAACTTTAGTAGTACACTGAAAGTACATTTTCACACACATACTTTCATAAACTTACTGTGGGCCAGTTTAGTCCCAGAAGTATACTTAAATCAGTGTACATGGTAAATAAAAGTACACTTAGCGAAATCCATTTTTATATACTTTAGTCTACTTAATGACGTACCTAAAGTATACTTATTTTTGTTAAGTTTATAAACTTAAAAACACATAACAGCATAGTATAYGTAAAGTATACGTTCTATAAACAACAACAAAAAGTCCCAATTTAGTACAAACATGTATTAAATCAGTATACTTTCTAGTACACTATAAGTACATGGTACCTAGAACTCAAGTATCCTTGTTTAGATGAACTTCAAGTATACTACTTTTTGCTGAGGGAGGAGCTCTTTAGCTGAAATCAAGAGGCTGTGGTCGTGTCCTGGCAGGAGATATCAGCACTGATGCAGATCAGCGACTGGTCATCAAACTGAGCTCGGGACAAAAATAGTGCTGAATGTGAGCCTTGTCAGCTCCTGGGTGGTGAAACTCACTAAACTCAGAATGTCGCTGGATTATCTGGTGAGCGTGACGTTCTCTTGCTCTCAGTAAATAAAACAAAGCCACCATCTTTATTTCATCCACCATTAAACAGAGACCGACAGAGGAGGGAGGGAAAAGGCTGTTGACTCGTGTGAAGAGCTATTTTGACTCGTGTCTGACCTCAAAGTGCACAAGCATCCAGCTTGAAGTGTTGGACACGTTTTTGATGCTGAATTCATGTTCGGTGTGAACGCAGCATAAGAGAAGAAACGTTACTGCAAAAAGGTGAAACATTCCTGAAGTCATCCACATACAGGTCATTAAACTTATTGTACTTTCTGATACAGAACTGCCAGCAACRTTCTCCATAGACACACCTGTGCAACCTGTTCTGTAGCAGCTGGTTAGGTGAAGTGTTTTATGTCAACACCAAGCGCAAACAGCAACCAGTCAGACTAATTAGTCCCAGGCAGCTCCAATGTGCAGATTTTAGTTTTTGTTTGGTTTCCAAACAAGAGCCATGTGGCTGGATAAAGGTGTGAGAAATGGTGCCTGGGTGCAGAGATGGTGAGTGTTTACGTTCTGTGCTTTTATCGTCTGGCTAATATGAAAATACAGGAGGAAAAAAGCTAGTGTATAAAAGAAAAACTAATTTAATGTATGAAATAATCATTTAGCATGGATGACATGATGATAAAAGTGTCGCAGCTGAAGTTGGATCATTATTCATGATCAGATGTTGAACATATTAAAAATAAAATAAAAGTTATCAGTCAAGATCCTGTCATACTATGTTGACATACTATACTGATGATATTTTTATGTCTGAATTACTAATAAGTTTTAGTTGATCACTTTGTCAGCATTACAGTATGTACACTTTACAGTATGTACTGTACGTTACAGTATGTACTGTATGTTACTGTATGTACTGTACTTTAGTATGTACACGTTATAGTATGTACTGCACGTTACAGTATGTACTGCACGTTACAGTATGTCCTGTACGTTACAGTATGTCCTGCACGTTACAGTATGTCCTGTACGTTACAGTATGTCCTGCACGTTACAGTATGTCCTGTACGTTACAGTATGTCCTGCACG